ATCGATTTTTCATCATTCTTCTGTGATTATTGTTTTTACTTCACATTATGCGTTTATGTCATGTTTTCTTTTTTTACACCAGAATCTCTCCAAATATGTTCGACTGGGCTAAATAAAGTGATTGAGGGGGTTTTTTTATAATATGGGGACAGAGTTATAGAGACACCAGTGGCGTACATGGAGAGCAGTGCGCTTGGCGTCATTATCCTGTTAAAAAATGAAGTCGTTTCCAATATCCAAATTTTGGGCTGATAATTTAAAATTTCTCTTTAAAATATTTAAATAGAACTCATGATTCATAATATCAACAAAAAATACCAAATTACCTAATTCTGTGGCCGATTTACACCCCCACGCAAGAACACTTCTACCTCCATGTTTTATTGATCCAACTAGATTCTTAGGATTAAGTTTCAGAAACTTCAGAATTAACAGCAAATTGATTGGGATGGCAGATTATTCAACATTTTTGTTTCCGATGGGCCTATAATAGCTTGTAAATGAAAAAATAAGGAGTTTAATCACATGAATTTATTTTAACAAGAACTCCTCCACCTCCATGCTTCAGCGTTGAAGTGAAGGTGTTCTGGCGTGGGGGTGTAAATTGGCCTAGGAATTAGGTAATTTGGTATTTTTTGATAGTATTGTGAATCATGAGCTCTATTTAAATATTTTAAAGAGAAATTTTAAATTATCCGTCCGAAATTGGGATATTGGAGACGACTTAATTTTTAAAAGGGTAATGACGCCAAACGCACTACTCTCAATGTACACCACTGGTGTCTCTATAATTGTCCCCAAATTATGAAAACTCCTCCTCAATCACTTTATTTAGCCCAGTAGACCATATTTGGTGAGATTCTGATGGGAAAAAAAGAAAACGTGAAAAACAAACACAAAATGTGAAGTAAAAACAATAATCACAGAAAATTTGTGGAAGATCGATGCAAAAATTATATACAAAAAACTGATTAAATCTATACCAAGACGCTTATAAAAGCTGTTGTTGTCACTAAAACATATCCTACTAAGTACTAAATTAAGAAAGAAATATAATATTTAAAGCTATGTTGAGATTTTTGTTAAGTGTACGAAGACTTTTGTGGCGTAATTTTTTAGTAGCTTTTTGATAATTAATTTTTTAAAAAAATAGTTATATTATTTTTAAAAAATTAATTATGTTATTCCATTAAGAATAAATTGCAGACATCATAAAAAAATTACAATTACAATATATTAATTTTTATTAGTCGAAAACATTAAATTTTATAAGAAATTGCAAGTGTATGAACACTTTTGTGGCCCACTGTATATATCTTGTACTAATTTTCAATAGTTTGATAAAATATTTTTTCTTTTCATCTACTGAATTTCAAATATACATTTTTTTTAACTTGCAGTGGATGACACTTGATTTTAATACAGTTTTCAGATATTAATTCCTTAATTCTGTTTAATTAATGAATAAATAGTAACAAAGAAAAATAATAGTCCAACAGCATATATAAAAAGGAAAATCGCTCGTTGCATCCCTGTAGCGCAATGGATAGCACGTTGGACTTCTAATCCAAAGGTCGTGGGCTCGAATCCTACCTGGGATGGCCTAATTTCTGAAAATGTGATTTATGAATGAATAAATAGTAACAAACAAAAGTAATAGTCCAACACCACGTATAAAAAGGAAAATCGCTTTCTATTTTGCCCCTTAATATTGTGATTCTGTCATATGTAGATACATATTTATAAAAATTGTAATTTACTTATTTTTAACTTACTTATTATACTAACTTATTACTTTACTTATTTATATTACTTATTTTTATATATTCAAGTTAAAACATATTTTTTTAAACTTGTAGTGGATGACTCTTGATGTTAATACAGTTTTTCCAAAAACTAATTCATTACTTAAATTAAAAAATGAATAAATAGTAACAAACAAAAATAATAGTTCAACAGCATATATAGAAAGGAAAATCGTTTCTGCAGCGCAATGGAGAGCGCGTTGGACTCCTTATCCAAAGGTCGTGGATTCGAATCCCAACTGGGATGGCCTAATTTCTCAGAATAAGATTTCATTTTTACTACACTATTTTATTAGAATAATTAAATTTAATTAATGAATAAATAGTAACAAACAAACAAAAATAGTCCAACACACTATATAGAAAGGAAAGTGGAAAGACATATATACACGCCGGTGACACTTAAGAGGTTAAAATCGTGTTGTAACTTTAGCGTCAAAGTATAGCATTATTGAATTCAGTACATTCTTATTGTATGGGGATATGATTGAATATTGGGTCACAAATATTGGAACTTTGAGAAGCACTCCCATGTTAAAGCCCATAATAAAAAATTTTATAATGAACATTGCAGACTATTGTGCTAAACTTGCAACTTGTAATAACTAATTCATGAATTCTAATACCCTATTTCGAAACGCATCTATATAATTTTCTCTCTCACTAAAAAACTGAAACCTATATTTTGAGACTTATTTTTGTAATTTTTTTGTTAAAAAGATTAGACTTTGAGTTTTTGACTGATTTATAGGGATTTCGTAGTAAAAGAATATCATAATAGCTTACATATGCCTCAGAAACTTTTCCTAAGACACTGATGTAATTTTTAAAAATAAATAATATTTCCCTTCACTTGAACAAGTGATTATAAATTTTTATATTACATTGTCCCTTGTTTTTCCTAGCTTATTTAAATGCGGAAATTGAAAAATCCCCTCCCTTGCATTTTTTAACTTGAGCGAAGAGCACGCTCCAGATTTTTTTTAAAAATATATTTGAACCTCAAAAAAACTGTATTTGTAAAACCTTTTGGTTCCATCAGGGGTTGCCATCTCGAGCATGCATGCCACTGTGAGGCATGGCTGAGTTTTAACAGTGACACGTGAATAATTGAAAATTTTTAAAAATTTGAAAAGATTATAAATATTAAATTTTTTACTGTTTTGTTAAAATGTGGTTGTCTCAGATTAAAAAAAACCGTGAAAATTTATTTTAAATACACTTAAACGAGAGATTGAGTGGGTGAATATTAACATCGCACTGTTCAGCTACACGATGGCTTTTGGCGATGGACCTCGTAATTTTGAACCATGGTCAAGTGACGAAGACGACACCTGAGCTGGCACCCCCTCTCCTAACTACCACACCAACAGGAGGACGTTTGAGCTCTCGATAGATTTAACGTGCATCGCTCCTCTACACGTCGGGTCTTTAGAGGTACAGGGCTCGAACTAGTAACAAAACAGCCACTATCCGATATGTTGACCACTGGGCTACCGCGGCCTACACTTAAACGCATTACAATAGAAAATTATAAGGTAGTTACATTGTTGTATGTGCTGTCTTTCCGAAGAAAGTGTTCTCGTGAAAGGCTTTGAAATTTGATGGAGCATGATTTGAAGTATCTGGAAGAAAACGATTTCCTGACTGCCCCATCCCGCCAGTGAGTGTTTGATACTCAAGAATGAAAACTGTCCCTTGGATTTAGCTTTTCTTACCGATACTATAAGGCATTTAAATAATTTAAATTTATGGTTACAAGGAAAAGATTGTACTTTTCCAACCCTGATAGATCCTAAATCTTTTTTTGTTAACAATGTATATACAGTTAATATCTTTATTTGGTATTTGGAGCAACAAAGGCTATTATCCCTTTGTTAACAAACTTATGCTATTTTTGTCTCGATTTTTTGAGAAAAAAACTTGACACATTTCCCATTAATGCACAGGAACTATCTTCCACAGTTAAGAATTCTCCGAGATATGATAGGTTTAAAATTTTATCATTCGTTTTGCGAGATTCGGTCAGTGCTAGGTTTGATGATTTTCAGGATGATAAAAAAAAAATGCTGATCTCTTTTCATGTATCCTTTTTCATAATTTCTATGCAAGACGTTAATGTTTGCCCACCTGAAATCCAAATCGGAATTATTGATCTTCAGGCCCCAGGCCCCAGGCGCCCAGGGGCCCGGAAGAGCCTAGAAGGACCCGGACAAGCTGGACTTAACCAGATTTTCTGGTTATAAATTTCGATCCAACGGTGACAAGGGGGCCTGTAGATCTTCTGCGCCCAGCACCCGAAATGAGCTTAAATCGGCACTGACTGCAAGGGATCTAAATTATGTTGAATTTTGAAAGTTGTGCCTACAAGCGATTTTCTAAATTTACACGATTTCGCTGTCAGATATTGTTATGGGTTTCGATCAACATGTGTTTGGACGAATGTTTTCGAATATGAACACAATAAAATCAAAATACCACTCAAAATTAATTGATACACACCTAAAACAACACTACCCTTGTTTTAGCGCATAGTCGAGAACAAATCCTAACATAGTTGACGATAAAAAAAAAAAACTACAAATTCAGAAGCCTCATTAAGAAAGTACACTGATTGTTTGATAATTATTTAGAATTTAATGTTTCAAGTTACTAATTTTAATTTTTTTTATATCTTAACAAACTTATTCAACCTGTAAAATGTTTATTAATAATAAAACCTTAATTTGTGCTTTTGTCTTGTGAGGCATTAGTTCGTGGGTGCTCCATTTCTACGTTATCTATGCGACTTGTGTGTGTATCTGTAGGAGAGAACGAAGAGCTAGACGTTTCAGTCATCTTAATATCTCTTTATTAAGATCTTAACTTAATCACTATACACAATGATTATAATAATTATAGAAAGCGGATCTGGAGTGAGAAGACACAATTTGTATTACCAAATAATCGCGTAATTGACTACTATATCTAACTTTACAGATTACTACTAATCTCCTTAATACACATAGTTTCCTTACATCTTAATTGAAAACGCTTACCACTAAATCCTTGGTAACAGCTACTCTCTTGGTCGCACTGATGTGGCTTTAATCCTTGTGGAATGGTATCCACCTTTATCTTGAAGGCACAGGTACGGGTAGGTTAATTCTTGAACTTGTAATTTCCTCTAACTCTAACTTAAGCTTTTCTAATCATAAACATAGACCTTATATAGAAACTTCACATAGCCACCTTGCGAACGCTAAACTTCTACTATTTGTAACATTCCTAATATACATGTAGGATATCCCATTTGTAAGAAGTTAGG